GTTACAACACCAGTTCGGGACCAAAAGTGTCGTATCCCGAGTCTTTCACAATCCATAATCCATACAAGGATTCCAGTGGACAGGGATTAGGTGTCTATGGCTACTCAATGATACTGGTAGTGATAACTGTAGTTATTTTGTAACTTATTGTCTGTTATCGTTATCGATATCGATAAATGTTATAAAATTATTTATATATATGTTTTTTAAAAATGTTTCTCAAATTCTTAATGCATTTTCTAAACATTATAGTTTATACTGAATATCAAATATTTAAACAAATATATTATTTTAAACAAAATACCAAAATGGTACATAACTTACATAGATGTTTATATCTTATTAAGTTTTTATTTAATTCATAACTTATTTGTAACTACATTTTAAATATTGCATGTCTTATTTTCATTAAATCAAGTATCAATATTTATTTACAAAATTATATCATTTTAATAATAATAAATTACTTGGTCTTGTATCTACATTTATGATAGGCTTTAATTGGGAGTAATTTTGAATCACTATTAAATATACTGAACAATCAATTTATAAGAAACAATACGAATTATTTTTAGCAATTCAATCAAATGTCAATTTTTTTTAAAGAATTTGATATAATAGATATGAAATATTTTTTAACGAATTCATACAAAGAGTAGTTTACAAGAAATAAATATAATATCGTTCAAACGGATTCCTGTTTAATGCTAACATTTTCATTCAAGTTATTATTGATATAAAAAGTAAATATAGATTCTTAGCTATTATAAGCGAGACTAATATATAAACGAGAAATACAAGAATAGGAAAACCCTTTTCAAACTATTTTCCAAACAAACGGCAAGAATTGCGTAATTTATTGTGAAATTCATAGTATTATACAATTTGTTGAATTGAAAAACAGGTAAAACTTAAGTTTACTGTATATACAGGTATTGGAGTGCATGTCTTATTTTCATTAAATCAAGTATCAATATTTATTTACAAAATTATATCATTTTAATAATAATAAATTACTTGGTCTTGTATCTACATTTATGATAGGCTTTAATTGGGAGTAATTTTGAATCACTATTAAATATACTGAACAATCAATTTATAGGAAACAATACGAATTATTTTTAGCAATTCAATCAAATGTCAATTTTTTTAAAAATTTGATATAATAGATATAAAATATTTTTAAACGAATTCATACAAAGAGTAGTTTACAAGAAATAAATATAATATCGCTCAAACGGATTCCTGTTTAATGCTAACATTTTCATTCAAGTTATTATTGATATAAAAAGTAAATATAGATTCTTACAGCTATTATAAGCGAGACTAATATGTAAACGAGAAATACAAGAATATTTTCAAACTATTTTCCAAACAAACGGCAAGAATTGCGTAATTTATTGTGAAATTCATAGTATTATACAATTTGTTGAATTGAAAAACAGGTAAAACTTAAGTTTACTGTATATACAGGTATTGGAGAAAAAGTTGCAAAACTTGAAGACTGAGCGCATAGAGAGAGTCATATAATAATTGGACAACAATTGCCTCTTGAAGTCAGGTGTGTCTGTATTATCCACAATGGCTTTAATCACTCAACACAGCTCTCAAACCATTTAAAGTACAGGCGGTTGTCTGCCATCCCATACCCCTCGCAGACATCGACTCCTATTTTTATGATAGAATTCTTGTTATTTAAGTAATTCTTTGCAACAAATTTATTGCTAAGTTTTGGTCAAATGGTTTATTTCGTGGAAAATAGTTAGCAACGAATGACACAAATGTAATGAAATGTTTTCCATTCAATGTATTACTTCTCAGATAACTGTTTGTGTCTTCAAACAACTCATTGAATATTAGGTTTGAGACAAATCACACAATTGGTCCCAATTTAATGTAAGTATCCATACAATTGATTCACAATATTTGATTTCATTTCACTTATATTACATTTGATGTATCATTATTTTAAATTTTATGCTTGCTAAGAATTCCTCATAAAAGGGTTAAGGAGTTTAATCATAGCTATAATTTACAGTTATTTCTTAAAAAGTAAAATCCAATTATCCACTCATACTAATGCTCATTAGATTTTGATAACGATTTATTAAATTGAAAAACTTAATGTGATTTTAAAAGAAAAGTATTAAACATATTTAAGCGCTAATGCATTAATCACATACAATACTGTTATTATGAGTGTCTTATCATATATGGTGTGAATTGAAGCAGAAATTAGTTCATTATAAGCGGAGTGAGTCTCGGGTCACATAACTGTAGTTGTATTCCCTTCGCTTCACATACACTATAGAGAGAAAACTCATGAAACCATTGAAAAAACTTATTGAACAACAAAATTCTCCCGTTTTTGGACACTTCCGACAAACGATGCGATCATTGTTCGCATACTATTCAATGCAATACATGATAAAAAACATAATGTTTTGAACTCTTCCAGACACTCCGTTTTGATCATTAATTTGTGTCAAAAGCCTGACTTAAACTTCAGTTTTTCACTCGAAATACTCATTAATATCTGAGAAGTTTGTCGGATATCATTCACACCATACCTGGCGCTTAGGCACGGGGTTCAATAAAATCGTAAACTCTTTTTGAGTTGTTGTGAAAAATTACTTTATAAATTAAGTGGCAATAAATTATCTCGTTTAATTCATATTTATTGTCTGTTGTTTATTAAATCAAATTTAATTTTGACGTAAGTCTTGATTTTATCGCTTATTTTTTCATTTCCCTAAACAATGAATTTATTGTTTATTAAAGAGGTTTTTGTATAAATCCTTATTTTACTTCTTTTGTGCTTAATTTTATTTAATAACTCAAAAGTTTTAAATTTCTGAATAATTGACATTACAATCGGATTTCCATGTGTGAGACAATTATTGTTTATGTATTTGTAATCATACAGAAAATCAATTGAAAAGGAATTAATCAATAGTTGTATTAAAACTTGTTTTTTACACTAGAGATAAGCCCTTAAATGTGATTAATTGCTGCAAAATATCGATAAAACTGTTTGATAAGGACTTATTCATTAAGAATACATTTTTGACAAATATATTGTTATTAATTAAATTGAATATTAAATCCAAAAATTGCTAAACTGCTATCATTTATCTGATAAATTTCAGATTCAATTTACATACACCTAAAGAATGGTTTACACAGTATGTCGATATGGATCTCAACACTGAATAACATTTGACACTAAATGCAAAACTGGGCACAAGAATGAGTACACTAACGGCTATTCATTCATACTATGGCCACAATTTGGAGCAAAAGACACCCAAAAGATACTTCACTTTAGGCGTATTGTGTTGTTGTATCTCTGGCTTCGTATTCTTCATTGGTATCATTTTGATGGTAATTATTCTGCACTTAAAATATACACCACTTCTCACTTCTTATCGCTGACTCTAATCTCATATCATATGTAATACAATATTAGAGTCAAAGCAATTTCCAGTTAAACATAGGCTCACATATAAAACAATATAACAATTAAAGTAATATGAATACCATTTCTGCGAAACAGGTGTTCGGCTCATCGCCAGCACATCCCGAAGCCATTTGGATCACTGGTATAGTGTTTCTGCTAACGGGTGGCCTATTATTCTTCTTAGGCGTCAGTTCTATTGGTCTGTATTTGTCCAAAGAGGACAAACGCAAGCGAGACCTCGAGTTGGCCCGAACCAGACATTATGCCTCCAGTATAGCCTCCGCACGGAGTCTAAGATCTAGTGATATATACCTCATTGACTGATTCGCACAACACCTCCCTGTCCTCTCTTTATTCATAAAGTATTTTTTATTCACACATATTTTTCATTGTTAACTATTTTTGAGATTTCAAATATTTCAAGTATTTATTAGAAGTTTTTCATGTTTGTATGAAATTTAATAGATGTTTTAGTCATAAAACAAACATTTTTGACACTAATTTTTGTATTCAAATATGAAAATAATAAAAACAAAGTTTCCAAACTTTCGCGTTTTCTCACGTATTTCTCTATATTTATATTCAAATTAAGGTTTTAATTCATTAATCAATTAAATAGATATGATTTTTTGCATAACTTATGAATAAGTAATAAAAGAAAATTTTCTCGAATAATGACCAAAACGAAGGGAATATAATTTTTTTTCAGCAATGAGTTTAATCCTCACAACAAAATCTCATTAAAATTTATATTTAAATTAAAAGTCACGACAAATCCCACTCTAACTCTCCATTTCCATAGGTTGGCCTCAATTTCTAACGCAAACTGAACTTATCATAACTTGTATATCAATTTCACAATCATTAGTCAAATGAAAACATTAATACAAATATTAAAAATACAGCACTTATTTATCCATTCATTTAGTTTTATGATACGAATGGCACAGGACTGCTATATTAAGAAAAAACATAATTCTTTTAGTGTTGATATGTTTGTTGAGTGAGAGTTTGTTGACCGCCCCGTCATGTCTTTGGGGCCGAGTATCCAGTTTTAGCAGCACTTCATATACAGTTAGACTATTAGTTAGACAATTAGATTCAGTGTTAGACCCTATTGTGTGGACTCACTCTTTTGATAAGTGCATTGAAATCATCATTTCTTTTGTAATCCGAGAGAGAGAGAGAGAGTGAGAGAGAGAAGTGATTGATGTTTGCTATGAATTCTCAGCACTTGTTTTGCTGTGAATACAATATTTATGCGATTAAAATGAAAACATTTTCTAAACACAAGTTTTTGTAAACCACGAAAAACTATACCCCAAGACGTGATTCTAATACAACCGTATGTTTTCATTTAACCGTCGCTTCATTTATGTGTTTATAAAGAAAATGATTATAAAAACAAATTTATATATTTTTTACGGTATATTGAAATGTGTGACCCATTTGATGAAATGGAGGAATATTTTTGTCCATATAATCGGAAAAATTGTTGTTTAACTTTCGGGTTCAACACTCGGTTCAATACATATTTCAAATCGACAAACACTTTACATAAGCTGTTATTTTTAGAAATGGAAAGGCATTTGCAGTTCATATAAAAATCTTTATATTTATACAAACATACAGGTATATAAACGCCCCAGAACGTAATGACATTTAAAAATACACTTTTTTATACAGAGAACTTCAAACTACTTTTTAATTTGCTTTAATTTGATTACAAAAAATTAAATCTTGTACAAAATGTCAATTATAGTAATACAGAGGTTTTGAACGTGGAGTTCAAGTGCTCTCTCGAAGTGTTTTCTTACTTCAAATTTGTTCTGATTTTTCTCATTTCATAATAAATTGAAAAATAAGTTTAATATCAGAGAAATTGCACAAAAAATTCTGTAAGACATGTAATACCCAATGCATTACGCAATGGTATACAATTGTGGCACACTTTTGATAATACTTTGTACAGTATACAAACGAATAAGTGGTTGTTTTAATACATAGTATTGTAGTTCTCATTAATTAGTTTATGACAAACTTTTTAAGAAAAGAAACAGTTTTTAAGAGTGACATCCGGTTTACTCATACAAACATTTCCATTCACAGGTATATACTCTGTATTGTAATGTCTTTCAGTGGTCTACTGAAAGAGAAGTGTTCACTGGAGTCGAGAGAAGGACACAAAACATATCTACCATTCCCTGTGATTATGAGAGAGAACTCCCAAAAAAAGATACAATATTTGAGGCAAAAAGACTCGTGAATGCATTGAATGGTTTACAGAAAGAAAAAGTGAGAGCAAAAAGAAACAACAAAAATACTAAATTAGGAAAAAGTGGAGTAAAATTGAGTGCCAAATAAGAATCAGAAAATAATTTCTGGTAACAAATACTCAAACATCGCTTTTGTCGAGTATATCGACACAGAAAAGCGATGTCTGACTGTTCATCATCGTCATTGTCATACTCAGGCGACATACGGGTGCGTTTCGATGATGATAGCGGTTCCGAGAGTGACTTAGGCAGCGCTGGGATTCCAGGTCTGGGAGGAGGAGGAACAGTGCCAGTGGTAGTGGTAGTGCCTCACCAGTCGTGCTGTGGTTGCAGTGCTTCTCCCAGTGCCTCAGCGATCAATACTGGAAGGACTACTGGTTTGGATTGTGGCCCCAATGCAAGTATTACATCGAATTGGGTATTGGGAGTAAGACATCAGAGCCTATCGTCCCATTCACTCAATGATATTATGGCCAAACGAGGAAAACAGTCGTCCCATGCATTCAAGTCTAACGCAAATCACGGTTTTCTGCAAAAACGAGTCGACACTCAACTATCGCTCAAATATCCGATGGATGACATTGAGGAGGAGGTCTCGCAACAAAGTTTCCATACTTTTCATTCCCATCACAACTCCGTAAACAACAACAAAATCAGTGCTCCTGTTGTCCAGCGTCAGAAGCATACCATGAAAGACAAAAGCAATCCTACGGATCGGGACGTGAATCCAGAAAAGTGCGATAAGAAGTCCATTAGAGACCATCAATCGATTGACGCCTTCAATACAAATGCAAACAAAACAAAAGTATTTGTTTCGGGAAATCATCAGTTGATCGCTACTAAGACGGGAGACAATGGCTGTCGAGCTAATGATACGGATAGCGGACCAAAAAGAAGCAAAAGTGACAAAAATAATATCATTTTATGTGAGAATAAAAAGATATTAATGCCATTGAATGGGACGACTATTCTTAGAGATAGTTGTGAACAACAAAACAAGTCGACGATTAAGTTAAGGTATGTTTGCTTTTGTTTAGATTCTCTATGTTTTGCTTGAATTCAGGGATAAATATAAAATTATATTCACATGTCTTTAAGCATATTAACTCAGAAAATGTTAATTAATTAGGACTTTATTTCAAAATATAGTCATTTAATATTCAATGACTTGTTTTTTGTTATCAAATGAAATCTTAAATGTCATGACATTTACACTTAAGTCTTAAGAAAAAGTTGTTTAACTTAATAATGATTTCTATTAAAAGAAAATTGCTGAGTTTACTGTAAGATTTAAATTAGATCTCTATATTAATTAAAGCTATAGATTTTTACGATTATAAATGAATGCGAAAAAAGTTCAATGTTTTTGGTTTTTTATTACTTTCCCGATGTTTTGAAATTTTTGTAAATATTAATTTGTAAGTATCAATAAAGCGTTGCAAAATATCGTCAGAAAATTATAGCTATTATTTCCTCTTAGATCTCATTTGATCATATCTTTTGCTGTATTTTCTAACATATGTTCTAAAAAGCTATCCTTTTATGTGGAGAGAGAGAGAGAGAGAGAGAGAGAGAGAGAGAGAGATCACAAGTTATTTGCCATTTTCCATGAGAAATATAAGAAATACTTACATTACTCTCACTTTCCTTTAAGGAATAAAATGATGGATATTATAGCAAAATATCGTTTCAAATTAAGACTAAATTCTATGACATTTAAAGTATGTTTATATAAAAAATATTGTTTTTATAATAATTGCGATTTCTATCTATCCGTATAATGAAAGCTATCCATAACTTTGAATGCAGTGCTGTTTTAAACACACAAAACATAATTTCCTCATTAAACAAAAAAGCAAAACAATTATTTAATGCGGTTTAAATGATTGAAAAATTCATATAAGTTATTAATGAGATATGAATCGGAATTATACAAAATAAAAATACAAAACTCATACTAGAGTTAAATGAACTGTTTCTGTATGATCTCAAAACCAATTTTTCTGCAACAAAAATAAAATTAAAGTTTTCAATGTATATATTGATATAAAATTAGGTCTTATTTTTGGGAAAACTAATTTCAAAAAGTAGTCATCACTGATATAATATAAAGTCATATGTTTTATTATAAGATAAATTGTTTTATAAGTTTAACATTCAATGTATATATTGATATAAAATTAGGTCTTATTTTTGGGAAAACTAATTTCAAAAAGTAGTCATCACTGATATAATATAAAGTCATATGTTTTATTATAAGATAAATTGTTTTATAAGTTTAACAGTCTCCTTTTTCCTGTGCATTGGTTTTGAATTTCACAAAAGTAAATATTTGAGTAATAAATATTATATACAAAAGTTATGGATTTATGTTCAGTAAGTTCATAAGTTAAAACAACAAACCTTTCTAATTAATAATGATAAAATTCAATTACTAATCGTTTATAAAATTAGGATTTAATTATTAATTTTGGAGCAAAGCTTTCGGGGGGTTTAAGTCTATATTAATTGTTGTTTTAGTCTAAGGATTAATAAAACATCTAACATTATTTGTAATCCGCTTATTGAGAACATGTTGAGAAAAATATTTAATTTACAAAAAAAATCATAATTGAATTCCCATATTATCACCTCATTGTAGAGCTTTAATGCTATTATAAAAAAGGGAAATTTAGTTCAGATGACCCCCTAAAGACAATTAAGTTTATACAAAATGAGTTGAATAAAAAACTTTATTATCCAATAAAATGGTTTTATTATTAACTCTAAAATCAAATAAATTTGAATATCTATAGTTTATTAAATTTATTAACATTTGGTATAAGAAATTAAATGAATTGTTATCTAAACTGAATGAGAACGAGAAGATAGTATTACTGACACAGTATCGGCTCGTTATGTACAGTTAGCACCGGATATAATCTGCTTAAAAAAGGCTTTAATTTAGTTTCCATGTAGTAGTGCAACAAATGGTTGAGATTATCTGATAGATAGACATTTAACGCATGAGTGAATGATAACAGGATTGTACTGTAGTAATGATTTTTTATGTTCAAACACGGAATATCTGATGTAATACTTCTCAAACCGTGTCTATGATATTGAAAATTTGTTTTTCTAATAAAATATTTATTTGGAAACATTAATCTATTTATGTATGACATTTATAAATATCGATTTACTGCTTACCTTATTTCCACACTCAGTATAGTATATTTTTAACTATTATATATATAACTAAAATATATACAATATATAATATATGTACTATTATATATTACAGAATATTTTTATTTATTTGCAATTCTGTATTAAAATGAAAACATAAATTAAGTTAAATTGAAAATGAAATAAATTTTAAAGAATTACTGAATTAATTAGAATTCAAACAAATTGCAGCAAACAGTTAAGAAAGTTTTTATAAAAATTTAATTAATTTAATTTGAAAAATATTTGTTTTATCAATGAATAGAAAATCTTTAATCAAAGGAAAAATTGAACAAAATTTAATGCAAAATATTTATTCTAAACGGATGTAAAGGAAATTATGTAAATATAATACAAAGTAAATAAAAATCTTTAAACCGCTTTTTAGACAATATATTTCTAATACAAATACAAAATAAGATTAAATAATAAATAATAAGACAAATTATCAGTGAAAGGACTACAATTGAATTGCAAAATATATGGTGTCCTTCGCATAGAGTTCTTGAATGAGACATATGTTTGTTATTCGTTACGAATGTATTGCTATTTAACAATAAATATAATACAAAACATTTAAAGGAAATTCGAGCCCTTAATGAGTCTCCGAAATGCTAGTCAAGTGTTTGTGTGTTAATAATGTATACCGTAATTGGAATGAAAAAACAGAAAATACATGCTAATAAATAATAAAACAATATATTTTTCATTACTATTTTCAGTACTAATTATAAACGGTCTGTGAATTTGGTGACACTTTCGGCACAACAGGAACTCAAGCGCTTTAAGTCCCAGCGATTGTGTGAATGTATTTCACTCATCACTATTATCTTTGGTCTCCTATTAGGTCTGTATTGATAGACAACATAAGACAATATCAAAAAACACAAAAATTCAATTAATTATTTCGTAATCCACTGTCAAAACAGTCAAAAGTGAAATTAAATTCTTAATATTCAATGCAAACAAAACACTTGTATTATGAATTCTTGTTATATATTTCGCACAATAAAAGCCTTTTTAAGTGTTTTCAGAGAATCCATAATACTTTTTATGATATATTCTGTCATATTAGGCTCTTAATAATAAAAGACTCATTTGAAATCCCTTTCCTTTATTTCTTTCATATAAGCATTATTTAGTGAATTATTAATTAATTATGACTTTCCGTTTCCTAGAATTAACGCTCCAAGTGTCAATTCTAGTCATAAATTATAGAAATAAATATGAAAATTCTTAATGTATTTTCTTATTATTGCTTATTTCAGTATATAATTTATTACATAAAGTTATAAAACATATAATTAATTGTTGTTATTGATTATGAAAATATTATAATTTCTTGTTTATTAAAACATAAGCGAAATGTTATTTAGCATAAAATCTATCAGTAAATGAGTATTTAATTGAATACTTTGAATGTCAAACAGACAACCAATTGCTCGCAAATGTATCAATAAAAGTGAGACTCAAATTCACGAATAAAAGTCATGAATTCATACAATGATTGCATCAGAATATGATAATTATTAGTGATTACGGAATAATGAATTGTTTGCACACAACCACAAACACCTAACCTATTATAATAGCATTGAATTGTAGCGATTAATTTGAATTTAATGTTTTTTAAATACGTTTCATAACATTAGTCACAATAACACCCTTTCTATTGATACCGATTTGGGTCATACCTAACCCATACTCGCCGCTCATTCGTAACGTCTTATGGCTATCGCTGTTGACATCGGTATTACTGATGACATTAGCGGCTCTGACCGGAAACGTCTACTGGTATTACGACCAGAGAAGCCAAAAGTGGAAATGGTTTTACCACTGCGGCAAAGGTCCCGAAGATCACTACTGGGGCGCAACACTACTCCACAACCATAGGCCACAAAAGCCGATCAATTGTAACAAAAAAGTGCGACCAAATGCCATTGCCATCAATGTATGAACCCATAAGTCTGAGCGAGTCAATGACCGCACAGTTGTCTCTCGTATATGTATTTACATTACTTTCATATGTAATATTGAATAGTATTTAATGGTTTAAATCGATTTTAATGAAAATCACTTTCAATACAGTATATGACACTCTCAGCAAACAATATCCCATTACATACTTGTCATTATGTTTTGTCATTTGATTGCATTTCTCTGTACTTTTATTAATCTTTTTATATTCAATTGTTGTGCCATTTGTTATACACCTTAGGAACAGATGAACAATCCTTTTGTGATACTTTCATATATGATATCTTTGAAAAAATATAATTAAAATTCGCAATAATTATAATTAAATGCTTTAACGAACTCTTAAGGTCTTTATATTCTTCCGCTTTATTCACTCCAAAAGTAAAGCAAAGGAATAATTATCTCAAAAAACATGTTATATATGACTCAATACAATAACAACATTTAAATCAATTTATGAATTCCTAGCCATAAGGTTATGGATGCGAAAATAAATTGGCGAAACATATTTTCGATATACTGTATAGCGTACATATATTTTTTCAATTATCAAATAATATGTTAGCAAATCATATATTGATATGTATTTTCGGAGCCTCGCAACAGAAATCCCATTAAAATGTAGTCGAATTAGTGATGCATTTCACTGAAAATCATTGTTAAACATCAGAAAAATATACTATTCAATCGATACAAGGATTTTCGTGTAATCATAATAAAAATAATAATAATAAGAGACTTACTGTCAGATGAGTTGTTGTGTATGTATTGGTTATTATCTGATTAGGAATCTAACATTTTTTCCGTACTATTGTTAAAGAGCTTCCACTTTATGAATACCTTTAATGCCATTGCATTTCACAATATATTTCATTTTTATGCGAATATTTGGAATTTTTAACTTTTCACACAAAATGATTTAAATCCTTGAAAATATCCCCAAAATTAGAATTTTTCTAATCATTTATTGGTATAAAAATGAAATATAAACTGAAAATTCAATGCATTTATCCTACAATTATTTGCCAATTTCAAAGCCAATCAATCAAATATTTATTGTAAAATATGTCTTAATTTTTCATTTATACACGATATGAGTACTAGTAATAATTATATAATTTCAATATGATTCTTATTTAGTATAATAATTAATTTTATAAAACGTATTTTGTATTTTGTAAATATTTTACATTTATTTTATTAAAATAATTTTTTAATAAACTTTTTCAAGTAAATTGAAATCAAGTTTATTCACAACACTATTTATTCAGTGATCATTTATATATTTGTTTAGTTAATATGTAAATACAATTTATAACTAAATCGTGTAGTAGAAAATTACGTAAACAATATGTTTATTCAAACTTTTATATACAAGACAAAAACTATCTTGACAAATATTCCCAGCACTTATTTCCATAAAATCAAACTGATATTAAAATGTTCATAAATTGTTAATAACTTTTTAATTTGTACATTCAATAGGAAGTGTTTGATTACTTTTGTTGATTTAAATAATAGGGAAGTTAATTAGTGAACTGATTTGATATGATCTGATTTAGTTTGGTTTAGATTTTGCTGATTTTAAACAAAACAATTAATTATTAAAACATGAATTACAAACAAAAAATTATAGCAAAATCATTTGCTAATATTCTAATGATTTATTGCCATTAATTTTATAGTTATAATATATAATATTTAATAACAATATTTATATTAAATAACTTAATAATTTAATATTAAATGTATTCATGCGCTAAATTACTTACTTAAAGTTACTTAAATTTTGGTTTAAAAAGCAATGATTATCATTAATAACGATTGAGTGCTATATTGATGCAACATATTGTAAAATATTAAAAACGTTGATATTTATACATTATTAAATTTTAGGTGACATTTACAACTAGAATCGCAAAATTTAGGATTTAAAACTATTTTTTAAAACTTTGATACAATACATGTAACAAAGCTTTACAGATAATTAAAACATAAATACTTTATTATGTATTGAAGAGTAAAATAGGATTGAAGAAAATGATAAGAAAATAGGATTAGAGAAGTGGGAAGACATTGTCTACGAAATACAAAATAGGGATATGAAAAGGATTTTATTTTATTTTATTTATAGTTAACAAATCGATAAAAAACAACTTTCACTTTACATTAGGCTATAATTTAAAATGATAGACTGTGTATTATTTTTCCAATAAATTCAATTTTTGTTATTATTGCTAACAACAAATGTAGCAATTTATTTATAACATTTAAAAAATAACATATGAACAGTATTTCAGTAATAATAAGATTTACTACTTATTTATCATAATAATTTATTATTTTATATTTGAATTATGATTTGTCACATTAACAACAACTTTAATATACAATAATTATAATCATAACCCTTTAGAGAAACACACATTCTTTATAATTATAATT